CGCGCCAGGCTTTCACGCTCGTGCTGCTCCGCATATTTATACAGAGCCTCGTTACGAAATATTGCAAAAAAGCAGGGGAGAGTAGCGACGGCGGTCGGGAGAGTGCAGAGGGGAGGGCAAGGATAAATAGAAAACTAACAGCGACGCGGCGAATGTTTCTCGATAACGGTTTTAATTCCCAAGTATCGGTATTCGATTGCGACGACCTCGATTTTGCGTGTGTGCGTGCTTTCTAGTTCGCAGCCGCTTGAAGCGGCGAAGCGCACCGATTAAAGGAGATGACACAGTTCTCGGACGCGACGCGACGGTTTAAACCCGCTACTCACGACCAATAACCGCGTCCTATTAAAAGTCAGTGGCAAAACGATGCTCATCACCTTGCCCCCAAAAAATATCTCGCGGCGAGATAAGCTCTTTCCAAGGTTCCCGCGAGACTGTCTTATCCGTGAAATCTGTCGTTAGCTCGTTGAAAAGCTCGATCGAAGAGTACGCGATCCTCTTTTCCTACGTTACGTCGGTTTGCGTATCTGCTTTGCGTACTGGTTTGCGGAGGGAATGCGGTATTAAAAGGGGGGAAACGCGCGATAACACTGCGAGACTCGTTTATTAAAATACCGAATGGACGGTTTCTAAGTTTCCACGAAATACCATCTAAAGTTGACTTTTCAGAAGGTCGCGTACCGCCGCGCCGGTTGGCCTTAATACCTCGCGTTTATAACAAAATTTTAAAGCGGTTGTGCGCATCGAAACGGAGAAGAACCGATATCGCCGGAGGTGTAATTAAAATCGAGGAGGAGTATTTGCGAGCAGTGGAATATTCAATGAGATAACTTGTATCTCTGGTAGGAAGTTGGCGTCTAGGTTGGCGTCTAGGTTGGCGTCTAGGTTGGCGGCGGCGACGGCCTCGGCGTCAGTGATTACGAGCGACGGAAAACGAGCCTTCCTATCCGGCGCTCTTTTCAGAACGATAAAACGACCGGCATTCTAATTTTCCTCGGCCTTGCGAGGACCGAACGTTTATTCGCGCGACACACTTGCATTCCTCCGCCCCGAACAAATCGAAACACTCACCTCTTCCTCTGCTTCTTTCTCGATGGCAGTCAGCGATTCGGCATCGGCGAGGTTATCGACAGCGATGGCCAAGAACACGTTCAGGAGGATATCTGCGTTGCTTCTTTCGTCAAGGATCATTTAACGGGAATAACTTGAGAATAACGTGAAATTTCTTCGGTGACAAAAAGGATACAGTTACCGCATATAAAGAGAATGATGAAATAGAAACAGGCGAGCATGCCGAAACTTGAAACACCGCCGTAGGCTCTAATTCCATCGTACATAACGGCGTTCCAATCTTCACCGGTCAGTATCTACGAATCGAAAGAAAATGATCATTTTCTGAACCGTTTCGGGAGTGATGGCAGGGACACGCGAGGCTGAGAAGCTTGCCTGAAAAACGGTGAGCAAGCTTTGCCAGAAGCTGTCGAAATTGTGACGAGGCTTGTCCTGTAATTCGCTGAAATTGAACTTTCCACCGAATACCTGCGGGAAAATAGATACGTACGTTGAAACTGCAGGTAGCTGTTGACGGTTGGAAATGAGAAAGGAATGGTACCTGCATGCCTAGGAGAGCAAAGATGACGATGAAAAGGAAGAGCAGAAGCAAGAGAGACGCGATCGATTGTATCGAGTTCAACAGGGAAGCCACCAAATTCGACAACGACCTCCAATATCTAAAAATAGAAGGGCAGCGTCGGTTTCTCCTTGGGAATTACGCGAAAAATGCCGCGAGAGCACTTACTTTGTCACTTTAAATACCCTGAGCAACCGGACGCAACGGAGAACGGAAACGCCGAGCGGTGGCATCACGTGAGTGTTGGTGAGGATCATCTCGGTGATCGAACCGATCACCACGAAACAATCGAAACGATTGAACAGCGAGACAAAGTAACCCTGAACAGCGGAATAAACAGCGTTCTCGTTCAAATAAGGACTTTAGTCGTTCGTCGAGAAATTCCCTCTGCGGAGTATGCGAAACTTACTTGAAATCCTAAACTATACATCTTCAACATCATCTCCATGGAGAAGAGCGCGATGAAAAACATATTCGTGATCTCTGTGTGACGAAAGATAAGAATTGCGCGTTAAACGTGCAACGTTAAACGTTGGTGATTAATCGTGAAATGGCATACCTTGAAAGTCGTCCAACCAGTGCGGTTGATTGTAGTGCTCGGTGGCCAGAACCCCGGTGTTGAGGAAAACCAATACAATGATCAACCAGTAGAAAACCTGCGACTTGACGGCTTTTCTGCACGCTCTCCGCATTCTCCTGTTTACTCTGCGAATTTACAATTCAAACTCAAGCAGCTCACTTTTCTCGTCGACAGAGAAAAAGTATTCGATGTAGTCGGATGTAATCCGTTTCGTTAACCTTCTCTCTCACCTGTTGAAATCCCGCTTTTTCCTCCTCCACGCAGATTCCTGTTGAACACCCTCCTCGTCGCCCTCTAATTGATCCGTGCTCTCCATTTCGCTCTGCTGCTTGGCTGGAAAAATGATTTTATCGACCGACCGATAAGAATAAGAAAAGATACTAACGAGATTACTCGCAGGTACGGGACCTACTCTTTCCATCCTGCATCTTCGGCTCGTCGGCCTCCGGCTCGATATCCTCGGCTTGCGTGATCCAATCGAGGTAGCCCCTCAGGTCGTCCTCGATCTGCTGCTTCTCCCTCAGTTTGTGAAAGTCACCCCTCGCCTTTGCCTTCTCTCTCTCCTTCGAGAACTCGCTGCACCGGGGGCAAAGCGGCGTGATTAGAGGCACAGACGTACGGCGTGTAATTGAAACGTTCGCGAATGGAAATTGAAATAAGAAAGAAACGAGAAGGAACTTGCGACGTTTCCTATTACGTATTCCCTTCGCAAGATCACGCGAAGAAACAAAGAGAGAGAGATACCGTACGGTTCGATCGTCGCTCAGGTTGCTACGCAATCGCTATTGCGTACATCCACCAGAGAAACAAAGAGATATTTATATACTTGGAGGCTCGCTGGGGGGGTAGGTGAGGTCGCAAGTAGTCGATATCGAAACTCCGAGGTAGGACAACCGAACAACCTTTTTGCTACCGAAAAAAAGAGAAGGTTCTTCGATACTCACCCGGACAACACACCGAGAATCAGATTCATCACGAAGAAAGCTCCGAGTATGACCATCGAGATAAAATAAATCCATTGCCAGGAACTTCCCATCGCGTCCTCGATCTAAGGACAGGTAGAAAGAAAACGAAGAGAAAGGGGTTGAAGAGGTCGAGCGGAGGATTGGAAATTGGGTCTTACGCTGTAGAGTACGTCGGTCCAGCCTTCGAGAGTAACGCACTGGAAGACCGTCAACATGGCCAAGCCGAAGTTGTCGAAATTGGTGATACCCCAATTCGGACCCTCCCAGAATTGCTTGCTACAATAGTACTCGGGTCCCACGTTATCGCACTGGTAGCCACCTGGTCCACAAGGAACTGGTTCGTCCATGATCGCGTCTGCGAATACGATCGATCGGTTTTATATCAATTTCTAATCGATCTGTGAATCAGCTGTTTACCGTGGGGCCACGCAGGTCGCGTACCGCGCGCTAAGAATAATTAGACGTTAGTTTCGCCGCGGCTGAATCATATCTAAAATAGCGCCGGTGCAAAGTGTGTTTCGGGGTTAAGCCGGGAACTCCCGCGGCGCTTGGTCCCTGCCAGCATCTCCTCGATCGGTTCTCTATTAATCGCGGGGGAATAAGAAGACGCGCCGCGCCGGTTAGCTCCGAGAAGCATACTCACCGGTGACATTGTGCCTGCACGTTTTGTGCATTTTCCCAGAGAATAGCTCGAGGCCGATGATAGCGTAAATAATGATGACGAACAGAACCAACAGAGCGATATGTAGAAGGGGTATCATCGCTCTCAAAATAGAGTTTAGGACCACTTGAAGACCTGCACAGATCGACGGAGTTTTCACGTAAGTTAACACGTTTGCGTGTTGCGTCTTACTTGTCGCTTTGATATGGAAATCTTACTTGGTACTCCGGAAACCAGCCTGAGAGGTCGTAGCACTCGAAAAGCCCTTAACGCTTTCACGTCGAAGCCTTCTTTCATCAGCGTCGTCAATACTATGCTCACCATTCTGTAATCGGAACGCTCCTTTTACCATTCGCCCCTTTTCTCTCCTATTGTCCCGGAGTCGATTTCTTGCCGGACTAGGATTCAGCGAACGCGAGAAACGTCGGTGGAGAACGATACGAAACTCGAGTCGAAATTAAAAGTACCTTGCCTCGGAGGCGAACTTGGAGTGAAAGACGAGAAACCCTCTTGTTTCGTTAACTAAGCGGAACTTGTTGAAAGAAAGCGGGTATCGCGATAAAACGGTACAGAGGGAGGATCGCGAGATCCCATAATCGAGGATTTCCGAGGACCGCCACGCAAGCAGAAAACCAGCGGTATATGTACGCGGCGAAGAACGTGTCCCGATTCCAATTAAAACAGAATTAATCTCGAGCGTTTATCCTGCCGCGAAACATGCCACGCACCAATGACAGCAAAACCAAGCACCGTAAATTCCGGGTTTTTTCCGCTACCGAAACTTGGTTCGCGACGTGATTGTCGGTTGCGTGCGTTAAAAACGCGTATCGATAATGTGGTATAAATGGGAAAGTATTGTACTCACCCTATCACTACTATCGAGAAATCTAATATGTTCCAGCCGTTCCGAAGATAAGCGCCAGGATGAGCCACGAAGCCATAAGCGATGATCTTCATAACGCACTCGACCGTAAAAATCACAAGAAATATATACTCTATTTTTTCCTGAAACACAGAGCCAAAGGGAGTGCAACGTGAGACAAAACGGAGACACTTTCTTCCATCGCCTCAAAATTCTCAATTTCCTACCATTTTCGTCGAAATTATCGTTCTTGTGTTTTTCGGGTTACAAGAATTCGACAATCTTATGAAAAATGCAAAATTCAAAATGGACGATCTAATATCACTGGTATACACGTTGTTTTCAAGTGAATTTTTCTGAAAAACTCGGCATTTCTGCGTTTATTGCTGCGGAAGTAATAGAAGGAAACTGTGGATTATAACTGTTGTTTGAAATGAAGAATGCTCTTTTATTCTTATTCTAATTCTAAGTCGTTATTTATATTCTGATTGCGAATCATCAGAATCGAATTCAAATTATTCGAGTTTGAAGTTAAACCAATGAAATTCGAAATATAGAAGATCTGAACTCAGCCAATGCCATTGAAGTTAAACCGATGAAATTTTCAAAAAATTGAGGAGCATGAAATTTCGTCAACTTTGACGGTCTACATCTCAGTAAGCAACATATATATTTAAAAAATTCAAACGGTATTTAAAGCTGCTATGTACTACGAAAATAGAATTTTGGCCAGCTTTTCGAGAAACAGCACCGCCGTGCAACGTCCGAAAAGTCACGAGACTTTCTACTGAATCGTTTCTGATAATTCGTGAAATCGTTCACACGTCCAAAGTAAACGTACAGCTTTAATTAGATGCAAGGAAAGCGCAGAAACGCGAGAGCAACGAGTACACGAAGAATCGACGCGTTCGAAACTCAAACCTACGAAACTTTCTTACGCCGGCGAAATTGTCGATCGTTCGAGACCAATCGAGCAGAAACTTCCACCGCATTGGCCAGCAAGTGGCTGATCAAGTCCATTCATATCTAAACGCTCATACATCGACATACCACGCATACATACGTAAATAAGTACGTATGTATGTATACTTATGCCGGGTGTGGATTATCAATGGCTGATCAAAGACCGTCCACACCCACTTGTCCGTTGCACGCTCTTCTTGGCAGACATCGGTGTGAACGAGGGTGTAGAGGACCCGTGACGTAACTTATTGTTAAAGAAACGAACGTATCGCTTGAAATTCCAGCGAAAATTCACGAGGCATCTTCCGTTTGATACCGTTCGAAATTTCAAAGTAGAAAAATAAAAAAATCGGCGGTAATACTGGTGCAAGAAAAGTTAGCGCGAAATTCACCTTATTTTTCCAGCGTGAATCGAGCCTTGAAACGGTACCCACGCGTCAATGTACCGAATGCTTTTTACCAAAATTTCCGGTCTGACGCCGGCACAGAAGAGTTTACTCTACAGGCCGCAATAAGCCGGTGGAAAAAGCCAGACCTCTAATAAAAGGTTTCATACTTGGTCTCGAAGGCTAGATCTTAACGTGTTATTTCGGAAAACCTTTTACCCATTTTCCGGGACACGGCTTCCCCAGTTTCGATTCGACCCTCGCGTTCGTCGCTCTTTCGAACGGTTTCCTTTCGAGCGCTTATTATTTTCCCGCTCTGCATTCTCTTTCATGGTTTTCAGTTACGAGAATCGTTCGGTGAGCGTCGAAACATAGGCTAAACAGGTGGTTCGGACGAATTACGGAGGAAATTGTACGTAAAATGTAGCGCGTCGAAAAGGATCTATCGTCGCGACTTTCCCGTTCGAGCGCGGTGTACACTGGCCCGTATATGTGAATCATGTTTTCCAATAATAGCGGGGAACGGTGGATGCCGATGTCAGCAAGATTGAGCAATTATTGAAGTTTCACCTCGAATAAGTTTCATGCCATCAACCCTATCTCTTGGACGTAGTGTTTATTTATCGATAACCCGACCGGTTCGCGTGGTTCGACGAACGGAACTGTTATTCCTATTATCTTCTCTATTATTAGCTTAATCGGAATTCGTCGTTCGCACGGTATTTCGACCTCTAAACCAGCAAGCCTAAACTCCCATCGCTGTGCCTGGCAACGATCTGTCGATCTTCCGTTAAAAAAAGGAGAAGAAAAAAATAATTTCAGGAAAATTAAAAAAGCGTAGAACTTGTTTATCTCCGGTGCTGGATCGTTGAAATGTTTGCCACGTGGCAGAAAATTCACGCGGAGGAAGAACGAAAATAGCGCAAGGTCTCGGTGCGTTAGTATTTGCCGCGATAGAGAATAAAAAGGTCAGGGAGTTACAGCGAGAACGGGTTACGATGAGAAATTGCTACTTACCAAATACTGGTTGGTCAAATTAGAATCGCCGAACGGGTACGGTGTGTAGACTGCCAGGGCGACGCAGTTCGCGAATATCGTCATGAGAATAAGCCACTCGAAAGGTCTGAAAAGGACTGGTTAAGGAAAATGAAAATAACCCCGGTAGTGCGGCGGCCGATGGTTCGCCAGAATGGGAAAACTTTCGTTTCATTTTTGCGCCTTTCTCACGATCTCGAGAGCTTTTAAATACAAACAGAGGATGAAAAGCGTGGAGAAAGTTTTCGTCGCATTGCAGATCAAAGATATTGCGCGTTCTTCTTCGTAATAAAAAACTCCTTTCCCGTTAAGGTGCACGATCGAGCGGAGAAAAGGCGAGGAATTAAAGGGAAGGAATGTTGTCCGTTTGCATGCTTTTGGGTTTGGTAAACGTTTTACGTAAGAGGTCAACGGGGGAGTGTGGAATCGAGACGGTAAATAAGTATACGTACGTTTCCACCCTCCTCCGTTGGCCTATTTCGCTTTCGAGCGCGAAAACGTTTGTAAGAAAAAGGATACTTCCATTCGACAACGTCGATGCACATTTTGCGCACTGGATTCTTGAGGGGTAGACAAAAGAGGGCCCTGACCGGCCTGTCGGGCGGCGCTTTGCCACCCCTGCGGGCCGGCCTCTTGGCGGTGGACTTTGCGGCTCCAGCGCCGGCCCCGAGTGCTTGGCCCGTCTGCGACTGCGCGCCGGCCGGCTGTCCGTCCTGGGCAGTTTGGTGGTTCTGGTGCTGCCCGAGGATGGGGGGGGTCGCGGCAGTCGGCTGGGCCCCCGGCAGCTCAGGGGGGCCCAACCCCGAGCCCCCATCCCCCCCCGCGCTCATCGGTCCCTCCTCGCCGCCTCGAGCACCCCCGTGCTGACTTCCTCTCCTCCTCCTCCTCTTCTCCTTCTTCTCCTCCCCCTTCTCCTTCTCTTCCTCTTACTTCCTCCTCCGCCGCCGCCTCCTCCTACTCCTTCGCCGCCGCCTCCTCCTCCTCTTCCTGTTACACTAACGTAGGCACGCTTCTCTGGACCCTGCCTGACCACGCAGACGCCCGAGTAGACGCCCGACGACGCCGATCGACGCGCTCTCTCAGAGACGCCCCACCACCCGCTGCAGCTCGCCGGCATGCTACGGCACTGGGCTCTTTCGAACCTCCCTCCGTGACCTAAACATTTTACGAGTACACCATTAGTGGCCTTTTTTTCTCTTACCTATGCTGCGCTTCAACACCTTGACACCTTTCAACTTCGCCGTATCAACAGCGAAAAGGCATGCGGTGTCCGTGCTTTTTTTCTTTTTTTTTTTTAGTCCTCACTTCGACGCGCGCGCGCGCCAATTCGATGAATATTTATGGTCGCCAGATGGAGTAGGTCCTTGGCTTGTCCCGCGTCTCGTTAACATTTAACCCTACGTGTCCGTGGAAGCGAGTAGCGAGATTAGACTTATTTCGCGAGAGGGGACTTATTTCCTTCCGCGAAGACCGCAGCCACTTAGGCAGGACTCCCGCTTCGCTTTCACTGTCACACGTTGCACGAGAAATTCGTCACCCGTCCGGGGGGTGAACCTAACCACGGGTCGCAGCGAGACGCGCGTTAAATCGTAATAACGGCGACGAGATGCGAGTGCTGCACGAAACCAACCCCTTGATTAAGCGACATGATTAATCCTTTGACGGATGGAGAGCTCGACTGCTAAACGATATACTCCATTCACCTTTAACCTCTTCCCCTTCGCGGAATTCCAGAAGACAGCGACAACTCGAGAAAGGAGAATAGCGATAACGGAGAAAAATCGGCACGTTGGACGAGGAGGAGCGAGCAGCAGCGGTTGAGTTTCGGCAAGTCCGGGAGTCTGGGATTTATAGCGGACTCGCGCTATATTTAGTGAGCCTAAATACTAGAAAGCTCTACCTACGAGCGAGTTTCTCGAGCGCGTGCTTGTTTCCGTCTCGTCGCGTGAACTTGTCTGAATTCGTTAGACAGAACTGATCTACTGCTCCCTTTAAACGTATCATCGTTTGCTGTGGTCTTGCCACCGGTACAACTGCTCTCGTAATTTATAAATCGCGTTCGTTCCAAGCCGGAAATTTCCAGTTCCGCCGTCGTAACACGAAAGCGAGTTTATTACGAGGAATTCGAATAAGCGGTACTTCTTTCCGAAGGAGCTTGCAGTCTCTTCTTTTCGCCGAAATTAGTCGAAAAACTAATTTCAACAATAACGTCACGCGATTCACGCGCAACAACGTTTGCTACGACGACTGAGCGATCGCGTGACGCAGAATTGGTGATTCAAGGGACGTAAATAAGTTGTCGTCGGACCATTAGCGAAATTCTCCAACGTTCTACAGGAAAAAGTGCCTGTAATTTCGAAAGAGCTTGTCAACTCGACGTGAGAAAATTCGAGTCGATCGAGTAACAGGTTTGCGGTTACGGGACGAATTACCGTCGATTCGAATAGAGCGATTATCGTGGAAGAAGAAACAGGGTGGAGCGGTCGGTAATTCGTGGGGGCGTGCAGGTAAAACGAACGTTCGCTGTTAATTGTCTGGCCGGCGTGGTGCTACGTGACGTTACCTGGTCAGTGGACGTCGATCGAACGTCGATCGAACGTCGGTCGAACGCCGCTAACAACGTTTCCCCGTGTCAAACGGATATA